AGTTACGGAGTCGGAGATTCTGTACCTGGTTGGTTTGGCAGCTTCCTTCACCAACGGAAGCTTCAAGTATGTGTTACGGGATCACTCTCTAACCCGATTAAACTAGAATATGGTGTTCCACAAAGCTCAGTGCTGGGACCGCGCTTATTCCTGGTGTTTATCAACGACCTGGCAATGGTTATCTGCTTTTCTAGGTTGATGTCAATATATGGCGGGCGATTAGTAACAAGCCAAGTCACGATCTACTCCAATATGACTTAGATGGCATTTATGAATGGTCAAAAAGAACCTGCTTCAGTTAAACATAGATAAGTGCAAGGTGATCCATCTATTTCACCAGCCAGTGAGCACTTACAAGATTGGAGACCATACCTTGCAGAAGGACTCTCAGGAGCGTGACCTGGGTGTATTGGTACAGGAAGAACTCGGATGATCAAAACAAACAGAGAAGGCGACGAGAACTGGCAATCAACACTTCGGCCTGCTTCGAAGCGCCTTCGGTCGGTTTGAATCCTCAATCTTTCCCCAAATGCTCAACACCTACGTGCTACCGCACGTGCAATATACTATTCAGGCGTGGCAGAAACAGGATCTTGTTGCTGTCGATACTCCTCAACGAAAGGCAACCAAGAACGTCAGGGGCCTCTTTCATCTGCCCTATCAGCTTAGACTGAAATCTCTAAGAATGTACATCGGTCGATATCGGCTTCTGCGGGGGGACCTCATACTAGTCTATCAGCTTCTGAAGAAACCAAGCCACTTTTGCTGTCCGCTGCTGGAATGGAACCCCAACACTAATCTAAGAAGTCATCTTTTGGAAGTAAAAATACAATATAACCAGGCTGAATGCCATAGAAATTTCTTTTCCCTCGGCGTGTGCCAGCTTTGGAACGCCCTCCCTAATTATGTTGTCTCTGCTCCCAATCTGGCGATACAAAAAACGAGTTGACAATGCTTTGTCCCATTTGCATTTCACTTTATGAATTGTTAACCAGAGGCTACAAAAAGCAATCAAGCGATGTCTTGCCAAGCTCCCAACAAATGGATTTATGGATTTATACGTTTAATACGCGAACAGCTCCGCTATTCTACATAAGTCTATGATGAGTCCACCAAAACGCTTTTCACTTTATCATGCAATTCACTTTTCGCAATAATTTTTATCCCGCAGGACTCGTTAAGCATTGCTTTTTACCCGTAATACACCATTGTTTCATTGTTCCAAATGGACGCTTCCTCCAACCGACAATACATTTTTCTCCCCTATAGGATCAATCCTCATAATGCCAGCACCTCACAGACAATAACAATTGCATGTCCCTTCAACAAACGTAGCTAAGCCGATCGGCGCCAATTCACACTGCATATACCAATTCGTGTGTGACTGCGGATTGAGTTGCATAAGAAGAACTGAGCGTTATTTGACTTCCCGAATAAAGGAATACGTGCAGAGTTGGGTTCAACATGAAATTGACCAGCATCCCTGCCCCCTTGAATCTTCGTGCTCGAACAGGCACCATGTACAGCTCGGATCAGGGTTCACAATCATGTTATGTCACTAATCCCGCTTCCTCCTTTTCGCCGAGATTGTGGGAATAAGCCTGTTGAAGCCATCGCTGCGTTCAAAAAGAATTATTAGTGGGTTTAAGACTGCTATGGACATAGGGATGGAACTTCCGTCAATCATTTTACATCTCTAGCTTGTTTGATCTTACCCATATTTATTTATATAGTTGCATATCTGCCATTTTGAAAGGTACTAATACGATAATACGAAATGCATGCATCTACCAGTTTTCGTCATCTTACCACGTTGTTCACATTACAACAGGGAACTAACAGCTTTGGATATAACAATTTCTGTTTCAGTCTTATTACCACATCGAAGCCATCTATCCTCGGATGGATATATATATATATATATATATATATATATATATATATATCCACTACTCAAGCAACTGCGTACAAAAGTAGCATATGCTAAAAACTACAAGCTCGCGGCCCTAGTCCAGTGTTTTTCAGTGGTTAATAAAATCTGGTCTATATATTAAACCCGTTTTAGGAAAGCAATTTTGTCAGGACCAGTGGAGTCTCTTGAATGAACGCCGATAAAAATTGCAGTAGCCCACTCAATACTGTAGAGGTGAAAAATCTCAAATCAGAATTAAGCTTTTCACCATCAAACACCTTCCCCTAGCTTTTTTTCTAATCAACGACCCGCCCACGTTGTTTGACCACATTGGTGTTTACAGTGAACTCACAAGACTGAAGCCAAACAAGGCTAGTGACCCTGATTTTCTGTCTTCATTTGCTCTGAAAGAGTCTGCAGATTCATTACAGTCATATCTGACAGACACAACAGATATTTATCGATTAGCCCCTTGCATGAGATCTGGAAAAGAGCTAGAATAACAGTTTGCTTAAGAAGTAAGCACGGAAGTTTAAAACATTTAGTTCCGTGCAGTAGTTTGAACAGCGAAATGAGACGAATATTGTCAGATGGTAGAATTTTGTATTATGTCATCAGTACCAATACAATAACGGTAATCTTTTTCGGTTTCATATGGCACAGTCAACCAATCACTCATCGTTGTGCCCATTGTTGTTGGCATTAGGACCACGATAACCACATGTTGACAACTAATTATTTTTGGAAACATAAAACTGGTCTAATTCGACTTATCGCGACGGACTCGGCAAATCGCAAAAGGCATGCATTTGTATGACGCATTAAGATCCGAAACCCTGATAATGGATTAAGCCGCTGGCGATTCGCGGATGTGTGTGTGCCTACATATGGAGGACGCCGGCAGCTTACGCGAGCACGTATCGCCAGGGGAGTTGTGATTAACTTCGTGCAGAACCCAGTTCGTTGAGTGTACCTTCACAGTGGAATCAAAATCCCGTTCGGTTCTGCGGATTCCAGAGTAAAGGAACGCTTATCGAACTGGGTTAAGCATAAAGTTAATCAACCCCTTTCCCACGATACGTGCACGTGTAAGCAGTCGGCGTCCTCCGTAGGTAGGCACACACGCATCGCCGAATCGCCAGCGGCTTAATCCCTTATCGGCGTTTCGGATCTTGTTGCGTCATACAAATTCACGCCTTTTGCGATTTGCCGAGGTCGTTGAGATAAGCCGAATTAGACCAGCTTTCTCTGTCCAAAACAATTAGTTCTCAACCTGCGGTTGCCGTGGTCCCAATGCCAACAACAATGGGGACAACGATGAAAGGGATTGGGTGAATATGCCCTATAAGAGTTAAAAAGATTTCCGTTATTGTATCGATACATATGACATAATCCAAAATGCTAGCATCTGCCAACATTCGTCTTCTCATTTCGGTGTTCAAATCACAGAAGTATGGGCCAATAGTGTGAACCTCCGCGTTGATGAAGGCGCATGAAAAACTACCAATACCCCGAATGTTTACGTGCAAGTATAAGTGATATCAAGCAGTTTGCATATCAACCAGAGCGCTCTAAATTCGATGCCGCTTCGTATCTATTGCATTCCATTACATCCGCTTTGGATAGAAATATACAAGACTGCGGCAGCTGTTTCTTGAGTGTACTAATGCCTTTCGGAGCTTTGACAATCGGTACCACTAAACCTTCGGTTGGAAAACGGCTTTCCCACATATCTCTGTATTGTAATGCATGATTAATTATCAGATCAATCACACTTTGTTGTTATGCGGTAGAACATCTTCCGCAATGCCAGACGCTAGCATTTTCTTAAAATGATCCAATCTATCCATCTTTCTGTTTTTGTGTATGCTGTGGGTCTGCCTATACCAACCAGATTCATCGGGTACAAAAACGCTGACGACGTCGTCCTAGGTTTTACAACTCCAGTAATTGAGGAATATTCGAAACTCAGTGGAGGATTGGACGTACTCTTGATTTGAACAAGCTCCTACCCCCTCTCTTTATCTCTCCCGTTTTGGGATATCACATTATATTTTGTCCGCCAACACTGCGCTCATTTTCAAACATCTCTCCTCCTTTGACCGTGAGTGATTAAAACACCCCTGGTTCCTATTCCGTAACAGATCACGGCGTTCTTTCCTAGCGGCTTCCAGATCGTCAGAATTATGTCCTTTTAATCACTGTGGCTCAAAATTCTCTCCTCACCGTGTATTCCAATTCTTATTTTCGTAAATGCTTGTATCCTCCCCCATTGGTTGTACTGTTCTTCTACCTCCCAGACGTCTTCAGAATGATTATGCTTTTAACTTGTGTTGGCTAAATGCAATTCTTGATGCTCTGGATTAAGCGGACGGTCCATCGGGGAATTTATGGCTAGCAAACATTTTAACGCATCCTCTAACTTCTCATCCAAGAGTCTAATGGACTCCTCGCACCCCCTATGTACTGTTTTCACAGGTATGGTATCATTTCTTCCAAACGATCGAAATTCAACGCATTATTTTCCCTTACAACTGACTTTTCCTTTCTCGCTTGTTAGTCGACTCGAAAGTGCGATGCATCTGTTGCGAGGATATCAGCCGTTTTGAAAATGTACTCATTTTTTATCAGTTCGCACGATTTCCCAACGATTTTACGTTGTAACATGTCCGCAGTTTTAGCGGAAATGGCTGAAAATGCTCCCACATGGATGGACAAGGCTTATCTTGACTTCACTACTGGAATGGGCATACCTAGATGGGAAAACTAGAATTATGTGAGGCAACTATGAGATAGAGCTGAACTGCTTATCCGCACCTTGAACAACATCTTGCGGCTATCGGTTGAGGTCGAACTGTTCACTCCTAAGCGGATTGTAGAAGAGTAACTGTCACTGTCACTTTAAAGTACTCTCAGATGCATAATAGCTGTCGTGCGCAACCCGTTGACCGGTTTCTGTCCTGTTTACTCGTTCTGTTTTGTTTGTCTGATTTCCTCTTGCTGATGGTATAAAGGGGAACTTTTCCATTACTAACATGTGCATAATGTAAGCGTTAATCCTTAAAACAACAAAATATAAATGTTGCCATTAGAAAAAATTGGTAGCATCATTACGGTACTTACCGCCCAAAATGGCCGTTGCTGATGAAGCGGACTCAGTAGTCATACGATCCGCGTTGTGTGTGCGGACAAGTGCCACGGATGGCCAGTTTTCCCACTCCAAATGAAGTTCACCCGCTGCCAAGCCCAGGTTCACTGCCTTTAGGTATCTTGCTCCAACGACAGTGCTCACGCTCATGCCATCTCCAATGAATAAGATAGCATTCTTCGGTCTGACACGCATCACATTTTTGTAAACCTTTTCAAATTCAGCTAACTTTTGATCTGCGGCCCGCTTTGATATCCCCGGATCGGTAATTTCTGGATAAGCTGGGGCAAGATTTTGAATGCAGGCGACAAATGAAGGGAGAACTGAGGCCACTAAAATGCTCAAAAGTTGTGTGAGTCTAGCCCTCATGAAGCCGTCGATACTTGTGCGGTTCACCAGCCGAAACGATCATCGAATGATATAAACCGAAGTTGCGTTATGTTGGCCAATCGGGTAACACTGAGCGCATGCACAATGGTCAGTGCGTGCAGCGTGACGGTGAACGATGCTGTGTCGAATGGTTGCATGATTCAGACCCAAATTTTGCCACTGATCTACTAAGTGTTGGCTGGTAAAGAACACAGCGGTAAAAGCTGTGGGCAATAACCTCAATATACCTGGATTTTCGCCTGATCGAATTGTAGGAGGAATTGAACTTAAAAGCGTCCAAATTTCAGAGTAGAAGAGAGGCAAAATCCCTTCTGAGACCAAGTCAATTTTCACATATCCCTTTGTTCATTCAGTATTGGCGTCAACTGCCGGCATTATAGTAGCGGGGGTATATAGATAACTTAGTTGCAGATCGAACAGTGTCAGTATGCAAAATGTGTTTAATCTTATTGGCCGCAAAAGTCCTTGAACCTTAGTGTCAGATGCGACTTGTGTGTTTGAACAAGCATGAATATATCCGTTTTTTTCATCACATTTTGAAGTCAGCTATATCTTATACAGTTACATCTACAAACATACCCCGTTTGCTCTGTGCACACGGCACCTGCAAAATTTATGCAATGGGCCATCGGTCAGAATTTTAGGTACACAAGCAAAAGTTTCCATACTTCCGCCCATTGAGGCAACGAGGCAATTCTTTGCAAACACAATGACAAGAACCTCATGTGAATTAATCTAATCTCAATTTAGTCCATTTATTATAGGTGTGAAGACCAGCGTGTCGTTACAAGTTGCCGTCATATTGAGCTGCTAAATCTACAGTACCTCTAGTGAGTTAAAACGGTAGAGCAACCCTCAGCGTTATAGAAATAAGCAACCCAATAAATGGACAATAGTGGAGCTTGAGCCTATAGTGAATAAACCACAACAAAAAAACACAACCTTATTCACGGTAATTTGACGTAATTTAGCAAACGTAACAAGCTGGTACTATGAATTTTTTTGCGTAAGCTCTGTTTTCTTTCGCCGACGAATTGTTTAGCCTTGCTTCGTGAATGCACACAAGAGGACCCTAATCTAACCGAAGAATGAGTATCAATGCAGATTTTCCTTAGGACGATACGACAGCCTGGTATGTTTCCCAAACCACAACATGTTACAATGCTTATGTGAGATGACTTGAACGATTGTTAACTTGTGCTCACTCTTGCAGACGCCGTATGAAGTGAGGTGTAGAGACCACTTCTAGGTAGCAATTGTTTGACAATGAGCTACCAGAGGGTGTACAACAGTGCAAGTGCGTCCTCTGTGTAAGTTGCTGGATGGAGGCCAATTGCTTAGATGCTTCATATTTTATTACTGTTTCCTGTTTGGACCACTTCTTCTTCAAGCGCCACTCCGTGTCTGGTGAATACTGAAAAAGCAAGTATCTCCCTATATGGTTACTCTTGTGATGCGTGCTCCTCTAACGAAACCAGATGAGCACATCACCAAAGTTCATCCTGCATTTGGATAAACCAAAATATGACTGCTCAGTGGTGGTACATTTAATAAATTATTACACGCATTATGTTAAATGGATTCTGGAACTATACCTTCATGGGTGTCTTGCACCGTCAGTTCAACATCGTTCCGCTGACAATGTTGTCGTATTCGGGCCCAACCCAACATGGAGTGCTGTCATCCAATCAGACCATACAACTGTCCAGTCAATCACCACCAAGCTGGAACCAACGAAACCGATATACCCCAGTGAGTCTGGTAAACACGTGAACTTCCTGTTGACACTTTGTTGATTCTGCTTTTTCAGTATTTCTTGATCCGCTGTATCAATACTACCGGTCATTTCCACGATCTAGTACTCTATCCACCTACTAGAACAGTTCGGGTTATACCAACTGGCGACGGAATTGGTAATTAAAATGGCAATTTCAGCAGACGATCTCCATGCAATTCTTCAGCAACAGCAGTCGCAGTTCGAGGCCGCTCAGCTCCGTTTACTCGATACTCTAACGCGTAACCTCTCCCTGGTTTCCAAGGACAAGGCACCGCAGGATGAACATGCCAACATTGAATCAATTGTTTCGACAATTCAGATTTTCCAGCATGACGTTGCATCGCGTGTTACTTTTGAGTCCTGGTTCAAGTGCTATGAGGACATTTTTCGTGTTGGGTTAGGTATAAAGGAGGATTCATGGCGATCACGAACACTGCTTCGTAAGTTGGGGATCACGGAGCATGATCGTTTCGTAAACTACATTTTGCCCAAACACCCACGCGAATTTTCTTTTGATGACACGGTTCAGTGCCTCACACAGATTTTTGGCGAACGTTCCTCGCTCTTCAGCACACGTTATCATTGCTTAAAACTCGTCAAGCACTCCATGGACGACTACATTACCTACGCAGGTATTGTTAACCGCGAGTGTGAGCGTTTTAAACTTGCATCCATGACCGAGACACAGTTCAAGTGTCTCATGTTTATTTGTGGTCTACAATCTCCGTCAGACGCGGACATCTGCACACGTCTTCTCACCGGACTGGAGCAAGACCCAGACATAACGTTGCAGAAAATGGCTGAGGAATGTCAGCGCCTGATCAGTTTGAAGCATGATTCCCGTATGGTGGAACAGCAGCAGATCAACATGGCAGATGTCAGACCGGTCAGAGCACAAAAACATGAGTTCAAAAAGCCACCAACAGCATGTTGGAACTGTGGCGCATGGCACTATGCCTCACAGTGCACTTTTCGCCGACATCGGTGTAATCAGTGTCAACGCTTTGGTCACAAAGATGGTTTCTGCAAGCCACGCAACTCAACTAAAGCTGACAATTCCAACAAGCGGTTTCCGAAACCACCGCAGAAGGCTTGTCGCAGCACTGTTGCTAGCTATCAAGTCAAAGCGACATCGCGAAGACGCTATCTAACAGTGAGTGTAAACGGGTATCCCGCGACTCTCCAGGTAGACACAGGATCGGACATCACGATTATTTCGAAAACGATTTGGGAATCCATCGGACGTCCTCTAGTTATGCCCAGTCAACAGACAGCCCTCAGTGTATCCGGAACAACTCTCGGTTTGATTGATGAGTTACGTTGCTTGGTATCTTATAATGGTCAAAAATTTGAGTCTATATGCTACCTCACTAACCAACCAGGATTGAATATTCTTGGCATTGACTGGTTAGATAATTTCAATCTTTAGAGTATTCCGTTTGATAAAGACTGCAAACTGACACTGGGCATCAGCATTCCTTCCGTAATAATCGACGCAGGGCTACAGCAGTCCATCCCACAACGGTTACTTCAGCGATATGCACTAGTTTTCCAGGAAGGACTTGGTCTTTGTAGCAAAATGAAGGCTCAATTGCAGCTGAGAGCAGATGCTAAACCCGTATTTCGTCCTAAACGTCCGGTACCTTATTCTGCATTAACCAGTGTAGAGCTAGAGCTTGATCGCCTACAGCTAGCAGATGTCATACAATCAGTCGATTACTCGGACTGGGCTGCTCCAATCGTAGTGGTACGAAAGGCCAATGGCTCAATTCGTGTGTGTGCAGATTTTTCAACAGGTCTCAATGACGTCCTTCAGACACACAGTTATCCACCACCAGTCCCAGAAGACATTTTTGCCAAACTTTCAGGCGGTAGACTGTTTGCCAAACTTGACCTAGCTGATGCATATCTACAAATCGCCATTGACGATGAGTCAAAGGAATTGTTGACAAATAACACACAGCGTGGATTGTTTCAGTTAAACCGATTGCCATTCGGGGTTAAAACAGCACCAGCTATTTTCCAGCAGCTTATGGATACCATGCTTACGGGCATTGACGGCATTGCTGCTTACATAGATGATATCTTAGTGGTCGGAACAAGTCCAGCAGAGCTAGCAGTGAGGCTCGACCAAGTTTTGGATCGGATAAAAGAGTACGGATTGCGCTTGCGACCAGACAAATGCAGCTTACTTTTGCCACAACTTAAATATCTGGCGTTCATTATTGATCAGAATGGACGTCGTCCAGACCCAGCCAATATTTCAGCTATTGTTAACATGCCGGCACCAACAGACGTCAGTACGCTACGCTCTTTTCTTGGCATGGTTAGCCACTATTCTAATTTTCTCCCGGAAATGCATCAACTGCGAGCACCTCTAAACGCATTACTCATGAAAGAGGTCAAGCTTACTTGGTCAGCAGAGTGTCAAGCAGCGGTAGAACGGATTAACGATATGCTGACTTCCGATCTCCTTCCCACGCATTACGATCCCAAACTTCCAATCGTAGTAGCTGCCGATGCAAGCAACTATGGCATCGGAGCTGTGTTGTCCCACACTTTCCCAGACGGTTCTGAGAAAGCAGTTATCCACGTAGCACGGTCGTTAACATCAGCAGAGAAAAATTATTTCCAGGTTGAAAAGAAAGGCCTGGCTATCATATTTGCTGTCAATAAATTGCACAAAGTGCCATATGGTAGGCGTTTCAGGTTACTGACGGATCACAAACCGTTGCTGACCATATTTGGTTCACATAAAGACATCCCGGCAACTACAGCCAACTGTCTACAGAGATAGGCTCTATCCTTCCTGGCCTACGATTTTAGCTTCCATTGCCAATCGACCACAGGTTTTGGGCAAACCGATGTGTTGTCTCGGTTAATTGCGGATCATCCAGCAGACAACAACGAGACAGTGATTGCTAGTGTTAAAGTGAATCAGGAGATCAATCGGATAATTCCCGACACCGCGAAATCCCTACCAGTCTCGCTAAAATCCATCCAGCAGCACAAATCGCAGGATGCCGTACTACGTAAGTTGATGAAGCACGTGAAAGAAGGTTGGCCATCGAGGGTATCAAATGCAGAACTCATCCCCTATCACCGGTGCCAAAACAGCTTATCAATCGTTGACTCGTGTTTGCTTTTCGCTGAACGTGTAGTTGTTCCCTCAGCTTTACGACGGCCCATTCTCACCTAACTT